CCAAGGGCTTCTCCACACCTGCGCCGATGCAAGGCGGGCATGGGCAGGAGAAGGCCCAAGATGAACACATCACTGTTCAGGAGTATCACTTGTCCTCAACAAGAAAGCACTTTAAATACTTTTATACTAAAATCAGCACAGACATATATAGAGTAGAACACAAAACTCATGAATTTCTAACATAAAAACTGGAGATTTCAAGGCGACCTCTTGCTTTTGAGGCCCACTTTACACAATAAAGTATCCGCTGATCACTGGGCACCAAGACTCCCATTTTCTCCGTAATTAATCCAAGTCAGAGGATCACTCAGAAGCTCTACAGCATATATCCATCAAACCTCTGGGACTTCACACCAGTAACCGGCCAGTGACTGCCTCCCTGTGTCACAAGACACCCCTTGTGTCTCAACCAACGTGAATCAGAAAGCTGAGAGGCATCTCACTCTTTACCAAAGGGGTCTGGGTTCTGCCACTGTCTAGAGTTAGCTCAGCCTGGGGAAAATAAAGAAAAACCATCTCACTGAATTCTTCTCAGATGTACTCTCTTGGCCACAAGCTTGCCTACCTCCCTGACACTAAGCATTGCCAGAATCACCAACAACAGCCCCATCTCCACCATCAGCACCCTCAATCCTTCAAAACACAGGCTTCTGTAAGAGATTTTATTGCAGACACTCTCCATGGAAGGAAGTCAAGAAATAGGGCACATCTCTTGGGAAAGGGTGTCCCTTGTGTCCACAATACAGGGGTGGAAACTTTTTCTATTGTTGTAGCTGTTTGCAGCTGTTACAAAAACAATTATATCCACATGACAGTGAGCTGGGAATTTTTTTCTATAAGAGCCACTACTGACCACAGAAGAAGGGGGCAGGGAGCTGGGGGGAATCACTGCAAGGACAGAGAAGTAAAAAGCAATTTAATTGGGTTTGGTTTGGTTTGTGTGTGTAACACATTCAAAAAGAGTGAACTCAACTGTTTTTAAATTAACTGAGAAGATGAAATTTTAATAGTAAATACATTAAATACACTAAAAAGCTATATTAATGACAGTAAAAAGGAGATGGGGAGGAGGATAAGGAGATAGATATAACAGGAGAGAAAGATGGATGGTGCAGGGGGATGCGGAAGCAAGATACAGAGACAGGCACATATGCCCAACCACACACAAAAAGGAGCCACCGAAGGATCTGCAGAAACACTTCCCAGGCCTGAAGGGTTAGCGAAAGTAAAGCACGTTGTTCATAGCCAGCTGTTGGTGTGGACCATGGACTTCAAAGCAGTATCAGCTTTTATCCTCACCTTTGATTGGTTCCTGAGCTGGTTAACCACTGTTCACAGCTCTTGAATGGCTCATTCAAACACTCTGACGCTTAGCTCAGGTCTTGGGCCAGAAACTTCCCCCAAATGAGCTATAGTTCAGTATATCAGTCATCTCCAAATATCTCCTCTGAAAAGGGAGTACATGAAACACTGTCTGATAAAACGTCCAAAACACCAATGAAAATGGAGGAAATGCTGCTTGAGTCGAAAAGAAATTCCACGGAAAACTCTTTTGGTTTGCACTAAAAAACAAACCGTGGGACTGGAGCAGAACCGGGCCCCACCTCAGCATTCTCCAGCACCACCATCAGCACACCCGACTTCCCACCCGTCCGGGTTCTGCGCACCCCAGTGGCTTCAAAGGCTTCAGGAGGCCCTGCATGAAGCAGCGGCCACGATCCTCTGCACTCTGAGGGCCGACAGGAGGGCCCAAGGAGACACCGAGTTAGTCCCAGCCCCACACTGGCCTCTCAGTACCCAGTCCTTGTCCAGGCCAAAGCCCTTCTTACTTTCCTCACTCTCAGGGCTGGAGAAATCTGCCATTTCACAGCTGATAGAAGCTCCCTTTTCAACTCCATCCCTTTCTCCTCCAGGCTTAGCATCTGTGTTTTTCTCCTCCCCACCTGAGCTGCACCCAACCTCCTACCCAGGCTGTCTCTCCAACCATTCCTTTCTTCAGCCCCTAATTCGTCCTCACTTTTCTTTACCCCATCTTAGAATCATTTCTCCCAGAGGAGGAGGGGGCTTAAAAGATACATCTAGAACACAGGACCTGGAATCTATCCACTGGGGCTCCTACCCCAGCTCTGCATCTTGCAGGCTGTGTGACCTTGGACAATCACCAAATCTCCCACCCCACAAATTCTTCGGTGAGGGAGATTGAACCTGGCAGTCACAGAGGCACCTTTCAACTCTCATGTTCTAAATATCTAAACATTCACCTGTACAACCCATAAATAAAGCAGTGAGTTAACCATACACAGGAAGAGAGACTGAATTACAGAAATGCCCTTTCCTCAGCATTAAGGCATCCAACGTTTCCCCAGCCAACCATCCATGCTGAGGGTCTGTGTCTCTCACCCTGGGCCAGTCTAGCTCTGGATTATTTACATACAGTAAAAACCTCATGAATTGCACTAATCAAGGAAAGGGTGAGTCTGAATCCTTCAGAAGCCTGAGTCCTAGAATGCTTCTTTCATGCCATTAAGTAATACTGTGAACTTAACATCCATTTAGCAAATAGGAAACAATCTAAAAATGCCCTCACAAGCTGTACTTGTGAATTTAAGAACAGTAATGTTGTCAGGAACCCTGGAAAATGGTCTGCTCCAAACCCGTCCACTTTACCAACAAGGACACAGGCCCAGAGAGCAGAAGCCACTAGCCCAAAGCAGGCTGGTGTCCAGGATCAAAGCTAGTTGTCCAGCCTCTGGCCCAGAACTCCTCCAAAGCTTTTTGAGACAATCCATTTCCTTTTTCATAGAGATTAAATCCCAAACTACCAATGAGTGCCCTCTACAGCAAATCTATTTCCATGTCCAGGGAAGGATCTAGAGCTAAGACTGGATGACCAGATGATTACCAATGTTGCCTAACAAGAGCTTTCTTTCCTTACCCTCGCCCATTCGTTCTCGGCAAAGAAAACCCAGACTCTGCTATCTACACTGAACTCTATTCTGAAAAGAGAGAGGAAAAGAAGAGAGCTGAACAGCTCTTCGATCTGCCAGTAAGAGGCATCTGTTCATCCTTTCCCCTAATTCCTACCTCATGCCCCATTATTTCCAATCCCTTCAGAAAAGTTCACGGAAACTCTACAACCAGAATAAAAGAAGGCAGGTAAAGGGTCAGCAGGGGGTGGGTGTCACATGGAGGATGACAGTACCTTCCCATCTCTTCCCCACTGGGGTAGCAAGCATTTCTTTTCAGTTGCTAATACCCCACAGGGAAGTCACCCTAGCTAGTTCCACTGGGGGCCTTCTTGTTGAGAAATGAGTTCCCAGCAACCCCTGAGGAACTAACCCTTTCCTAACTACCACTCATCCACTCAAACAGTGCCCAGGGCAAAGGTGCCACAGACCAACGCGTCCCTGCTGTCCCCTCAGGCCAAAAGTCTGAGCCACCAGAGCTTGACTGGCAAGGAGCTATTTAAGCATCAAGAGGGTGGGGCAGAAAATTTCTGGCAGCATCCTCCTCCTCCACCCCATCCTTACAGCCAAGTCACACACACACACACCCTCACTCTACAGACAGTCATCTATGTCACCTACGTCTCTAAAGGCTGAAGATCTGGAACCCCCAAATGTCCACATGTGCTTTCTGCTACTAAGGCTGCTGTCTCCATCTGCCGCCCACCCCACTTTTAATCCACCCCCTTCTCTTCACTCACCACCAAGCCACCTTTCCACCCCAAAACACAAAATTGAATCTAAATAGAGGTGCTCAAAAATAAGGAGGGAAATGCAGACAGATAAGCCTCCACTTATGAGAGGGAAAAGGGCGTGGGGTGGGAGGGTGATGTCAGAGGCCTGACTGCCCGAAAGGTTCCATTAGGTCTCTACATGAACCTCCCTGCTATTGACGGTGAAATCAATTCAGGCAATTTCCGCAGGTCGGCCCTGTGACAACAGGAACACCCCAGCGCTCGGTTTAAAACACAAAACCAAAGGTTCAGCCAGAACATTCTGGGAAAACCCAGGATCTGCAAAAAATGAGCCACGCTCATTGGGGTCCCTTCTGCTTTTATGTAGCAATGTAATAGCGTAATGAATTTTATCTGCCTGAATTAAGCATGCACTGGTGAATTTCAAAGCCATCCTACGACAGAGGATGCACAGGGATGCAGAATTCGACGGTATATTTCCCCACGAAAGGAACATAATGACTTCAAGCCTCTTTCCTCTTCTATCTTGAATGGCGCTAACCGCTTATCAAGGAAGCCAGGTGGGAAAGCAGGGATGTCCGGGAAATTCGTAGAAAAGAGTAGCTTTCTGTCCATCACGGTGATGAGCTGCCTAAGATGCTGCTCGTCACTATGGGGCATGAAGGAGCATGGGCGGACGGGCATGTACAGTCTCTCCGGACACACACGTACCCGCTCATTCAGGCGGTCCTAGGCCAGACTTGTCCTAGCGCTCCTCCCGCCGCCCTCTCCTCCAGGGGATGCTGATGAATGAACACACCTGAGATGTCTCCATCCTGACGCTTGCTCCCTCCTTCCTCCTCTGGCTGCTGCAGAGGGGCCCCTCCTTGGTAGTTTCACTTTACAGCGCAAACCCACCCGGGCTTTGATGTCTCCTCCCACCCACCCATATTGCAGCCAGCCTGAAGCCGGCGGACGTTCTCTCCTAGCACAGGCCATGATCACACGTACCCAAATCCACCAAAAAATAAAAATAAAAAGCCCGGAACCCCCGGAATCCCCACACAAAGACCGGGAATACACCAAGCAGGCAGGAAGGAGGCTTCGGCCGAATGGGCACACGGTTTGCCCCGTGACCACGGGGGATGCTCTGGGGGAGGGGGCCCCCAAGTCCTTCCAACAGCTGGCCCTTTAAACGCGCCTCCTCCGAGCGCGGAACAAAGGCACCGCCCGTAGGGGCCGGGCAGGCTCACGCCCCCGGAGCCGCCGCGGCCACCCCGGCGAGCGCCGGCAGGCGGGCGGGTGGCTGGCGCGGGCTTACCTTGCAGGTCTCCGGGCGGACGGCAAGCAGACTGCACGAGTCCTACCCGACTCGCACTACACGCTGCAGTTGGCTCCGCTCTGTTTTTCTGGGACTCGGCACTGACTTCACCGACACTCCATGGCTAGCCAATGGGCTTCGACGGCCACCCCCTCATTAGCATGCGTCTGGAACCGTCCACTCCGGCTGCGCCCGGGCGGTGGGCGGTGTCCGGGGGCGGGGCCAGGCCCGGCCGTGACAGGAAGGAGGGTATGCACCAATGGAAGGCCGTTAGGCACCCGGCCACCCCGCCTCGTGGCATTGTGAGCCGGGAGCGCGAGCCCGCGGATATCAGGGAGATAACGGGCGCGCGCGCACGCGGTCCCTATCACCCTTCGTCCAGGCAGGTGGCGGGCGGCGGGCGGCGGGCGGCAGGCTGCGGGTTGGGTGGGAGGCTCGGCCTGCTCTCCCGCTGCTCCCTAGAGGGGTCGTCCACGGGGAGCTGGGAAGAAACCATGGATAAAAATAACAGCGAACGTGTCCTAAAATCTGTACCCCAGTTTGCTCATCTGTAAAATGGCATAATAGTAGGATGTTGCGAGATTAATATAGTTAACGTATGCAAAGCATTTAGATCAGTACCTGGCCATTGTGCACATGTTTGCTACTATTTTTATTATACTTTATACCAGCCCAGTGTGCTGAATGCTTCCTGGATATTTTTTCATTTCATCCTCATAGCTTATAAGAGAGGCAGTGTTTGTAATTCCTACTTTTCAACTGGGAAAACTGAGACGTGGTTTAAGTGGCTTGCTCAAGGTCACACAGCAATGAAACCAGGATTTGTACCCAGGTGCTGAGATTTCATTCATGCAACACACATTTATTCAGGAGCTCCAATGAAGGAACGTGCTGGGCCCTTTATTGCAGAAAAACAGAGGCAAGGTCCCTCCCCTCATGAAGCTTCCATTTTAGTGAGGGAGACAGGCAAACAATGGAATAAATAAATATCTGCAATGTGAAAAACAGAGTGAATGAAAACAGTAATGGGCAAGTGGAGAGAAGAATATTATACTTTGTTAAGTCGGGTTCAGTGCTATACCGTCCTGACTTCCTCCAGTCCCTTTCAGCATTACAGAAAAGGAATCAGAAGGGAATCTGCTTGCACAAGATCACAAGGCCAGCAAGTGGCCAGCCTGCAACATGTACCCTCCACACCTAGCTTCCCACATCTCTGGGACATCCCTGAAGGTAGGGTAGTCGTTCATTTGGCTGAACACAACTGCCTTGGAAAGAATCTTCAGACAGACAGCACATTCCCAGTTAACAGGCTGTGTGTGGTGAGGTGAAGACAGGCTTTGATGACTGCACAGGCCGATGGGAAACACAACCACTAAGGTTCTTGGACATCAGGGAACAGTGACAAGTCTTTGCTGAGCACCTGCTGTCTTCTGCTATGTAAAGAAAAAAAAATAGAATGCTCCTAGCTGCCTGGAAGTTTACTCTGTCCACTACTGAGAAGACAGACACAGCTAGAAAACTACTCAATCTAGGAAGCCCCCAGCCCATGCCTCCTACTTGCACCTCATACTGCTTTGCAAAGAACACTGGACTAGGAATCAGACTTCCAGGCTCTGCTATTAACTTACTCCATGATTTAGCCAAGACGGTTCCTTCTAGGCTTGTAATGTAATAAAATGGCCTTTATCAAGCACATCTAGCCTGCTACACACTATTCTGTATTTGTGCTAAAAGCTTTATGTGCATTAACTCACTGACACCACACAACAAACCCAGCAGGGAGTACTGAGGTTATCCATAGTGGAGGAAAATAACAGGTAGAGAAACTAAGTAAGTCGCCTACATGATAAATTCGGGACAACACTGTTCAGAATAGCAACAAACTTTCACAATTCCAATGTCCAATTTGAGTGGATTGGATAAGAAAATTATAGTACCAGCATGTGACAAAGTACCATACACAGTCGTGAAAAATGAAAAAGTATGGTGGCACTGACTAACACATAAAGATGCTCCTAATATATTATTGAATGGAAAAGTAGGTTGGAAACTTGTTTTACATTGCAATTGCATTAAGACTATGTCTTATTAGATTATGAGATTATTTTTTGTCTATATTTTTCTGACTTTTTTTCCTCATAAGCATCTATCAAATTGTTCATTGAAAATAAAATAATTTTAAAATGGAAAACTGGACTCTGTCCATGGAGGCAAGTCCTTCCCTATGAGTGGGAAACTGCTTTGAAGAATCATAAGTGAGGCCTAATTATCCAAGTTATTCCTCGAATGTGGAACTCCTCTGCTGGTTCCAGGCTGTGTGTTATTAGGTTTCTGAGATAAATGGAAAAATACTGAAAGGATAGGAGAGAAGGGAAGAGGAGAAAAGAGAAAACAGAGAGAAAGAAAAATCCTACTATCCTTCAAGATTCCGTTCAAACGTCTCCTCCAGGAAGTGTTCAGCATCATGCCGGTCTAATATTTAATGCTGAAAGAAGCCCACGAAATCATCTGGCAAAGCCATGTCTAGTCTTTCTTGTCTCCAATCATGTACTGGTTCATGTGAGTAGCAGGCGCTGTGCTCGGTGCTGGTGGGCCTGGCTCTCTGCCTCCCTGATGTAGCCCCTGAGGAAGCAGAGGCCCAGGGAAGGCCAGTTCCATGGGCACGCAACCTGTGCTGAGAAGGGCTTCACGCTTGCCTTATCGCTCCATTTTCACCACCTTGAAATTCTTCATTTTTAACAAGGGACCCCACAGTTTCATCTTTTACTGGGCCCTGTAAAGTATGTGGCCTCTCCTGGGGAGGCAAAGCACCAAGACCTTATCAGTATATCAGTGACCAAGGCTGGAGAAAAGCTCAGGACTTTCTACTCTTCCTCCCAACCATTCTCTTATATCACATGGTCTCATTCCTGGTTCCCCAGGGAAATCTGAGCATTCCAGCTTTCCAGCCCCATTTCATTTATTCCTTCCTCATGGAATTTACCATATTTGGCATGAATTCTTGTATACATGTGTGTAGTCTTATTCCTCATCCTCTCTCCCCAGCAGATTGTAAATTCCATGAGGTCCTGGCTTGTGTCTGCTCATCTCAAATGGTGCTTATTACTGTGCTTTATACACTGTTAAAAATGTGCTTAAATTTAATTTAATCTTATTAGTAACTCCTGGTTTTCTCTTCACGTGCATTAGATTATTCCCAGCAATCCTTCAGCTATTGGAGAGAAATAAAAATATCAGGCAGAGAGCTGAACACACAAACCATGAACATAAATATGCTATAGGAAGCATCCTCCAAACAGGCCCTAAATGTGAGGAATTAGGAGAAGAGGCAGCAGGATTTTTCAGGGGGCAGCCCAGAGTTGTTAGTCTTTTCTTTTTTTTGAATGCAACTAGTTTATTAAGTAGTTCAATTACCATCTAAATATGGAATGGTTTTATTTTTTCCAGTAATTGCTGTCAACTATGGCCTATCAGATCTTCCCTTTCTCCTTGAATAACAAATTCATTTAATGATATTGTGATTTGTTTCCTCAACTATTCAATCCCTTTCATTCATTTAGAGTTTTATTTCAGGTTCTTGAAACTCAATCTGGTTTATTTTCTAAACTTGTTTTGAAATGTCAGTTCTAAAATGTTTTAAAGATAATACAAAGAATTTGTGTATACCCTATAACCAGCTTTGCCTAATAACTATGGTATATTTATAAAAGCAAAGAAATTAACATTTATGCAATGCTATTAATTAAATTACAGAACTTACTTAGATTTCTCCAGATTTCCTACCTATGTCCTTCTTCTGTTCTAGGATTCAATCCAGGATACAGTGTTACATTTAGTGAACATGTCTCTTCAGTGTACTCTGACAGTTTCTCTGTCTTTCCTTGTTTTTTATGACTTGGACGCTTTGAAAAGTGGGCTATTTTGTGGAATATTCCTCAATTTGGGTTTGTCTGAATTTTTCTCATAATTAGTTTGGGGTTACTGATTGGAGGAAGAATACCACAGAGATGAAGTGCTCTTTTCAACACAATGTCAGGGTTACATGATATCAACATGACTAATCACTGGTGATAGTAACTTTGATCATTTGGTTTGTTAGCCTTCTCTCCATCTACAAGGTCATGCAGACCACAAGGGAAGGGAATAAACAAGATGATCTAGAGATGGCGGTGAGCGTAGTGGTTAGGCCTGTGGGCAGAATCCTAGTTCCAGCACCTAACACACACCTCTTGTGTAAGCTCTTGGGCCCCTCATCTGCCACGTGAAGAAAACAGAACCATGCTTCCGTTTCCTTGTGAGCTGTAGAGGACAGCACCCAAGTAAAGTGCATAAAGTCTGCCTACCACATAAGCACTCAGTAAGTGGATATTATTACTAATAGCACTAGGAGGCCAAGTTGTGAAAGATGCTTTCTTAAGATGAGTAGATTTTGGTAACTTGTTCCCCAGTCGCCCAAAAGATTGACCAGTCAGTCATTTTCAGCCATATCAGGTAGAGACTGCCAGGAGTGAAGAACAAAATAGGATGTAACGTCCTGAAGAAAATGAAGCAAGTAGTGGAAAGAGCAAAGAACCAGTTCTCTTGTTTCTTACTAATTATTGAGAAAAAGCAAATCTGTACTTTTGTGCCTGAGGGCACAGAACTGATTTGAAGACCTTAAAATATCAGATCCAAGAATTTCACATACTTCAGAGGTCAGTGCCAGCAGGTGCCGCTTTAGGGAAGCATGGTGAGATGAGTGCAGGTTGATCAGGAGGAGTCCCTGGGCCAGGCAGGAAGGAGAGGAGGCAGGGAGACCACGGTGCTTGGGAAGCAGGGCAGAGATGAGCATGGATCAGTAATCCCAGGAGTCTGGTCATGGCTTCCATTTGCCAATCTAAACACACTTGATCTGATGTATCTTGTGTTGGCACTTGGATGAAAACTTATGTATGTAATAGAATCTCAGTTCTATGCAATTGTATTGTATTTGACCAAGTGCAAAAGGTTTGACTTTGAAATTGTTTTACGCTATTAGTCAAAGTAAGACATTTAAAATGGTGACCTGGCTCGACCTCTGAGAACACACTTCTATCTACTTCCACTGTATTAATGGAAAGGCCTGTCCCAGGCCAGGGGTTT